AAGACGTCGGATTTTTTATTAGCATCCAATGAAGAGTCTTTTGGTTCTGACGAATTCACGACTTACGTTTTCTTTCCCATTGAAGTCAAATTGGCTTCGATCGGTGAAGATAATTCCGTAGATATATACGTTTTCAATCCTCATAGAAGTGTTACAGCAATTTCTTCCCCAAGGATGATCTATAATAACCTGGAGTTTTATGATTAAAACGTACTGGCCTGCAAATAGATGTTTGATTGGATTCAACGTATGTTTTAATGGTGAGTGTTGTTCTTGTTTGTCATTCGCTCTCACATCAACATTTATTTATAGAATTAAATACGTACCTAAATTGCTACTCGTTTAAAGATACACGCGGCTCATGTATTGAGGATGTAGCTGTTGACGGATCTGTTTGTGATGAATTTCTCACGCATATCATCGACCAAAGAGTTGTTTTGTTTATATTTTTAATTAATTATTCGAATTTTGTCTCGCCAAATCACAGCCGTTATATATCATACTGTTCCTGACTACCGGAGGCCGTGGAATAAAGATATACGTTTCCATAAATTTTAAGTTAATTTAATTTGAGCTATTGATGCTTTTTAACTAAATCAATATTGTTACTTGTTAATTTCTATTATCTTATTATTATCTTTTTAACCCTGTACTGGATCTCTACTCTCGAATATCTGGAGTTTTTGGTCCTCAATTCATCTATCAGCTATATGGAGCTGAGGTGCATGAAATTGAGCTGATTCCAAAATCCCTTTTAATTATATCATTTTAAACTTTCAGGCTCACAATAAAAGTTGTAAAATGTTTTTTTTAAGAAAGTGTAGCTCACCTTCCCTGCACCGGCCGCTGGCCCCCTAATGGGACTTCGCAGTCAAGATGGCTCGAGTTGTGACCCTCCTGAGCCTTGCTTGTATTCTGACGTTAATAGTGCATTTATAACGTGTACAAATTATGAATATAAATCAAAATAAACTTTTTTGGAGAAAAACTTTATTGAAGTTCATATGAGAAGGATTCATTTTTAGTGATACTTGAAAATTGGTGTGAAAAAAGTGGAGCTGAAGCATTATGTTGCGTAAAGATCTTTACGAGATCTCTGTCTGGAAACAGACTGAAGTTTAGACTTTGATTTTTTAGATGTACAAAAAAACTTTTATATATAGAAATTATGCATGTGTCTGTGAGCAGTAACGACTGCTTGCTATATATATAACACAGTTTCGTGCCAAAATCCATAAATCCTATGAATTTCATCATCTTTTCGGCTATTTTGGCTGATAAATTCTGTACACGCTCTTGCACCTGGTCGGTCGGCATATTGTTTTATAACGAAAAATAATTTCGAATGCGCCTAGAGTGCCCTAGACGAACTTTCTTTTCGACGGGGTAATTTTCGAACTTTTCTTCCTTCATGATGGTAATTAGAATATTTGTACTTCTAATTTAATCTTTACAAATTTGCGGCTTGAAGCGATGGAAGTTCCAAATTGCTTTCTTGGATGCGGTATTTACAGCATCGCTCAGTTTAGAGAAGCATTGCGTGGCCTGTTTTTGATGCAAATATTTTCGATCCGCCGAATTATTCGGCATAATGAGCCCTGTTACTGGATAATGCTTAAACTTTTACCTGCCAAAATGTGTCTCGTGCAGTATAGCTATCACTTTTCAGTGGAAAGTCGCAAATTTTTGCAGGCGAAACAACAACTCCGCGCTTCTCGAGGTTTAGAGCAATTCCTTTTGGAGCGAAGCAGAAATTACCTTTTCGTATTTGCTCATAATTCAATTGATTAAAAACGTTCAAGTCCAACTCCACTATTTTGAGTTCATACTACCTCTGTTTTTTGCCTATTCATTGTTATTTGGGCTGAAAAATTTATCTAGAAGCTATCCGTGACTTAGAATTTCAAATTTAGAATGCGAGGTTAAATCACAAGTCCATTGCATATTAATGTTCGATAATTTGTTTGCCCTATTATAACGTGATTATTGGGCTCTGTTTTTCTCACGTTGCCGAACTTGATAAGTATTTCTGTTCGGTGCTGAGTTTGCAACGATTGAGCATAATTGTAAGTGTGGTGAAAATTTCCCTGAATCGATATTGCGGATAATGAAAATAGTTTTTCTCTAGCCCAAATTCTCTGGAATGATTACCGAAATCATCAGAAATTTTTTACTCACTATGCTGATGCCGTATGGGATTCTCATGCATCGTTTCAGGGGTCAACAAACGCAGCTTAACCTGTAATTTGACACGCAAATTTGTTTCTGTATCGTCTGCACACGACTTGATTGTGTGATGCTGGAGTCACTGCACTGGGGCCATACTGTACTTTCAAAATTCGCGAAGTAAACGTAAGTACTTACGCTCTATTTTCTTGTCTATGATTGGTGGATTTTGCTTGAAAGGCCGTCAATGATTGGCTGATGAACTTACGATCTCTTAACTTTTTTTGAAAGTATAGTGAACGTAAGTACTTACGCTTTATTTTCTTGTCTATGATTGGTGGATTTTGCTTGAAAGGCCGTCAATGATTGGCTGATGAACTTACGATCTCTTAACTTTTTTTGAAAGTATAAACCCAGAACCTCCAACCAACCACAAATTTGATTGTCTGTGTCGTCGTTTGGACGACCAGCGTGATGCTAGACTTTTTAATATTCTATTTATTTGGTCTCACATTATTTTTTTCTTAAGCTTGAGCTGTGACAGTAAGTGGTAAAGGTGTCATTTTACGATGGCTTCGATTTATTACACAATAAAATCATTCCATTCTATTTAATTATATTACAGAATGAAACATTTAAGGAATCTTTCATTGAATGAAGCAAAGAATTTATTTATTTTTTCGAGTACCTGGTTTCGTTTTTCTTACTCCCATTTTTATTAAAGAAGAACTCAGAATAAAATTACATTTACTGCGGTTATAGAAAGGATGTTTTGTTGAAAATTGTTCAATTTGAGGTCATCGGTCGAATCAACAAAGATCTCGTTAAAACTCTTGTGAAGATCTTAAAACCCTGAGCCTTCTTATTTTCCATGCTAGAATAAAAAAATATAATTTGGGTTATTTTAACCATTTGATTCAATGATCTTTTATCAACTTTAAAAATATCCGGTTTCAAATGTCAGGGAATTTATTGAAAATTACGGATTTCTGTAAAATTTTCGAAGCACGAAAAATATTACCAAATATTGAATCGCTCAAGATTTTTCACTTCTGTTGCAAGCGATCTCAGAGAATGAATTGCGGCTTTCAAGTTGTCATCTGAGATCGACATGAGCTCTAAAAAAATACGTCTAAAAAATGCTCGAATTCTCGTATGTCCATATATATTCTATTGCTATTATTTTCGTGGGCGTACTTTTATGAAGAATGTATGTTGATATTTAGATTTCCCATGACTCAGAGCCAATCGTAGAATGGTTTTATTTGTAGTTGTGTTCTCCACATTTTAAGCTGGGATTCTCTAATGCGACCTTGGAGTATCTTAGCACTCGTTAGCAGAATTCTTGCTAAGTCGGTGTAAGTTTTCTTTTCGAGAACATTTTTCGCTAAGCCTGGCGGTTTTTTGAGAAATAATAAATCGGAGATCCCTTCAAAATGGCCCGTTTCATTTGTCAGGGATCATCCGGAATCCAATACAACTCGCATTCTATGAACGCAGTTTTAATAAACAATGTTATCAATAAATATTTATTGACACAGAGTGGCATAAAGTTTTATGTAATTATATTAAAATTTTGGAAATGAGGTTATTTGGTTCCATTTACTTATGACTCGTTTAAAAATTACTTTTTTCATTTACGCATTCATATGAAAAAATTCTTTTTCCTCTTGCTAGGCGCCGCTGAGTACTGTGGGAGGCAACATTTCTGTGAGAAATTTAGCATTATTTAACTCTCCATATGGTACTCTGGAGAATAAAATTATTATTATGGAAACATTTCTTATTGATTGTTTTTTTAATTGAGACCATGTTGATAAGCCTAAAATTAAGCCTTAACGTCCTTGAAAGTGTTGAATCTTCAATGCTGTCGTTACTCCAATTTTGTTGTAGTACTACCTTGAAATGTGCAGTTATTTGATGACGATCAGAAAACGGACTGACGAATTCTCGCTGGGGTGTCTGCAGCAGTTGATGGCAGTGATGTCTATACGCATATTATTGTTGAATCCTTCTCACTGTGTTCTTCTAAATCCAAAGCGTATTAATACTCAGCTGTATTATTCTTGTGTATTATTTAACAGTATTTCATGAATCGCGTCACTATTTTTCTTTGGCTTATTGATTCGCACATTACTGTAATTTTGCCGTACAACTACAAGCACTGCACCTGAAGTGGTAAAAGGGTGGGCCAGTAGCTAAAGTTCGGAGTACCAAGATAAGAGCAGAAAGTTGCGGGTTCGAACCCAGCTCTGGGCGCCAATTTCTGGTCAAAGTCGGCCAGGAGGCCGGGCGGTTAAGCAAAGCAAAATTGGAACAGTGAGTTGCGCGTTCGAGACTGCAACAAGCTGCACTGAGAGAAATAGATGGGTCTGGAATCTGGCTGATCCACTTTGATGAGTCGACCGCTTCCAAATATCGATGCAATTTTTTTGACTCACTTGCCCGATTTGTGGCTCACACTGACCTATTTCCGGCTCTTCAAATTCCAGGCATGACTCACTTGTGGCGTTAAATCGCTCTGATGCCCAGATGCTCCCCTACATATCCATGATACGGGTGGCGTCAAAAGCAAATTAACGCCACAAGTGAGTCATGCCTGAAATTTAAAAAGTCAGTATGACCCATAAATCGAGCAAGTTGTGAGGAAAAAAAGTGCATCGATATTCGGTCACGGTTAACTTATCAAAGTGGGTCATCCGGAGCCATCCATTTCTCTCAGTGTGTGAATGTTCTGCGACGTTAAGTACCGGTGACCGGCGTACGGTCTAATAAACGCTGAAACTGCTGTATAAACGTGTTTTTGACTGATGATATCTTGTATTTTTCAACAGAAGAGGCTGCTTCGCTACACAAAGGTTAACCGCTCACTCAAGACTCAGGATTGGGTGAACAACTCAGCTCACGTAGTTCGTTCAGCGTCAGAAATAACAGACCCCGAGAAGCCAACTTTTCTCTTTAACACTGCGCCCGAGATCAGTAAGAGCGATGACAATAACATCGACAGATTAGACTCAGAACTTCAGTATAAAAGTTTACCTCCAAACTTTACAGCTGAGGCCGAGATTGGCGCGGAAAGCAGCTTAGCTCCCCAGGAGACCCGACGTTCATCTGAAGACGACAGCTCTCAGCAGCTGCAACAGAAGGATGAGTCTTGCGAGGTGCTCATCGATGAGTCCGAAGACAACACAGATGCATCATCCACGAACACTGTAGGGAAATGTAGCGGATATTCATGCTCGACCGCTGTTCATATAAGCTTTGAATTGAGCGACGACAAAGGCGTCGCTAGGGAGTGCTCCCAGGACACTGTCGCTGATGTCGGTCGCCGTATCGGCAGTTTAGGAGAGAGCCGCAGCCTGGGACCGGCCTTCTTCTCGAGAAGCGCTGAGTCCTATCCTCTCAATCCAGAGTCCAAGTCCCAGTCTTACGGTGCCTATAATGCTTACGGTAAAGGAACGAGCCGAAGGTACAAATTAAGCTTTAGAGAGGATAGCAGTGATGCCGGTCCTTGGGGAGACAGAAGACTTGCAATTGAAGAAGAAATTGGTGGTGAGCGCCAACGCTATGGAGAAGACGCCGGTGCTGAAGGGAGATGCTTCTCAGGTAATTATTATTTAAACCGACTATATATTATGTGCATAACTTTAGCTCATCATTGGGAAGCACGTAACGTTGAAAAATAAGTAACTCCCATTTGCTTTGAAGTTGAACCTTATATAAATTAATCTCTTGCAATTTATATCCACCGATAAGATGTTAATCATATGCTTCTATTAACAATTTTTTATATTATTAAGTTATCAGACGACGGAGAAAAGCAATTAGAGTATCTCAACAGAATTTTTGTGGCTTTCACGCAGGTTTCAGACCCAAAGGCATCCAGCTACGCCTCATCCCGAGGGGCTCTACAGAACGGTACACTCCAAAGTTGCAGCCTGCACAGAGCTTCTTGCAGCCCTCGCAGACATTTTTGCAGCCCACGCAGTCATACCCTCGAATTCCTTGCAGCCCTCACCATACTAGTGGTCCAAGACCCCACTCACAGAGACGGGGTAGCAGCCCCCAAGCTCCTCCCCAGATACTGTACGGCTCAGTGGTGTTGCGAGCCCCACACTCTGCACAGAGCTCACCCCCTGGGCCGCGGTCACCCAGGCTAGGGGTCATGGCTGATGGCTGGAGCGGCTCTAGCCTCAAGACTCGTCGGTCGTCTGGGGAAATGGAGTGGCTTGCGGCACCGGGTTTTCCTGGTCTGCCACGTTCCCGTAAGAATAGCTGGTCTTCCGTCAGCACCGACTGTGACTTCTCCCCGTGCTGGTGAGTACAATATATTGTTATATCGCGCAAATATATTGTTATATTGCCCAAATGCGTCTTCACTACCTCGATTTCTAGCCGTTAAGCCTGCAGAAACTTCATTCGGAAACTTCATTGACATTTTGAAGAGGAAACCTTATGTACTTTTGACAGAAGGGGGGGGGGGGGCAACGCTTCAAACCTCTCGCGATCGCTTTAGCGTAATTCCTTCAAATAGAGGTTTAAACCTACTACCAATTTTGGCACGGTTTTTTCCTCTTCTGTCCAAGCCTAATTTTATTTTAGCAGCGCTGGCTTAAGCGTATAATTAAGCACTGCCTCCTACTTCTCGCTATATAGGTGAGTAAAATAGGCGAGTAATTTTTTGCATCGCTAAGATAAGATTGTTATAGACTATTTTCATTTATATAAATACATTTTACATGGCAGTGCTGTTGAATAAACTTCTATTTTATTAATGAAAGTTATTAGGGCTTTTTTCTGTTCACTCTACTGATGTTTCGCACCCCGCACATTTAATTTGTTCATGATTATTGCATTCAAATCAATAGAGAAAATAAACATTTTTTTCTTACAGTAAGCGTTGAAGATCTGAGAGTAGAAAATAGATTCAGGTATTTTTGTTCGTGGCAGAGCAACAATCATTTATTCATATTCCTCGGGCATCGAGGTCGAGTGAGAATGTAATCTAGAAAATATAACGCAGAATTACGCTCGGCCGCAGAATAAACGCCCTTGAATATGTTCTTAGTTTCATTGCCACTAACAATTTTCATGACGATGAAAACTAGTATATTTTCACAAATTTCATGTCTTTTCTGAGATTCATATATAATGAAATGAAATTATTTATATTTATTATATTTTCATGTCTTTTCTGAGATTCACGTTTATTGAAACCTGTTATAAGGCTACTTACTACCCAGTGAAAATTTACAGACGCGGCAGCTTCTGATTCGAATTACCAGAAGCTGGGGCGACTCTAAATTTTGTTACCCAGTGAAAATTTACAGACGCGGCAGCTTCTGATTAGGATTACCAGAAGATGGGGCGACTCTAAATTTTGTTAGGGCAATTGCGCTTTAGAAGCTTCGATTACCAAAGCAGCAACACTGATAGCGGCAAGACATGAGTGTTGGCATCATGTCGTGCAACATGAGCCAAGTCATCGATTAGTGTTCAGGTCCTTTGTGATACTTTGATGGGCATTATATTACCGATAAGTTTTTCAATGCTAAGAAAAAACCGGTAGCTAATGAAGCTTGCAGCAAATATCGAGTTCGGCTGCATGTGGCTTGGGCAGCGACGTTCATAACGATTTTTGCATTTGGGTCATTACGAAAGTTGCACGACTTTTTTCGCAATTTCGCATGTGGAGCACTGCACCTACTGAAGTAGATGAATTGCCTAATACTACGTAGCAATCTAAAAGTCAAGCAATTTCATTTTTATTTGAACGTCGATGAACCACATTTAAACTGCTTAAAATTTTATAGTTTATTAGCTAGACCTATGATGCCGGGAAATTTTTATTCTAGCTTATGCTCCAATTATTAAAGCTTACTTTTGATGCCATGATTGCAGTAGTCGAAAAATGTCACCTCTTTTATCGTAAACATGTGATTTTTTAACCTTTAAATTAACATTCAAAAAACGGTCACAAAGTTTGCTCATGAAGCATAGGATTATTAAGCCCGGATCTCCTCCGGTGGAGAAAATTCGCCTAAGGACAATGCCATTCTTATAGGAAGTACATATATCGGCGCCGGAGTTTATGGAGACTAAGACGGAGGTTTCAGACTAAGCCAGGTCGTAAAATTTGTACCTTCTTGTAGCAAGAGGCAAAATATAAACGTTTCCCTAAGAGTTTAATGATACAGAAGACGAGTCTTCAACGCCGATATTTATTTGATGGATACTGATATTTTACTCACACTCGGGCTCTTGCATCAGCGGCCAGAATCAAAGCTTATGTCTATTCTGTTCTCTCCTGAATTACTACAATGAGAACAATGTTCCTCTGAGTGACATACTCCCGCGTTAGAATTAGTCGTCGAAAGTCAAACAATACACGTGTAGGTAATTTGTACCTTTGTGATTTGAGGAATCATGAATTTAAAAGCAAAGAAAACAGCCAGAATATTAACCATTTCTTAAGAATGAAAACGTTTCGGAGTCCAGCTCCATCGTCAGTTCAAAAGTTCAAAGCCTATAAGAAAATCAGAATCAATTAGAAAACTAAATTTCATCTTAAGAAATGGTTAATATTCTGGCTGTTTTCTTTGCTTTTAAATTCCTGGTAAACTTGCGACTTAAGCAATCTAGTAATTTTAATGCTTTAGGAATCATGGATTGTGCGGAGCACCTGCACATAATTTTTTAATATGACTCATCCATCAGAATGATCTTTTATTGATACGATACACATATTATTTTCACTGATGCAATGAGATATATGACTTGCCATGTGTAAGTTATCAACTCTTCCACTGCTAGTTCGTTGTTTAAGTTACTTGCCTTTATGATTCAACAGGAGACCAAGCAGGTCGAAAATCTTATTCGCATCTAAATTCCCATAAAACAAGACTATGCACATGTGTCTTAGATGGGGCCATTCCTATGCTCCATTTTAGGGTAAAGATTTGCATTTGGTAAATGAAACTCACTTTATAGTCTCAGTTTTAATTAAACTTTAGTATACGTCTGGTCAACTCTTTGGCCTCGTGTTAAGCTAAGAACTTGCGGCAAATTGATAACACTTAACGACCCGGTTGCACTCAACTGTGTAACAGTAGGCTTATGGCTACGCTCGGTCAAGATGAATTAATCGCAATTGGAGAACGTCATCTTTAATGCAATTCATATACTTGTTGGTATTTACGTCTGCTGTATGAACAGAAAGCGCGTGTTATTGTGCATTCGACTCACCTCTGCCAGCGGTGCCATCATCTCTCAATAACAGGTAAGCTCTATTAATTAATTAACTATTAGTAGTCGTAATTTTATATTAATACATTCGTCACTATTCAACTGATGATTACTTTTTCCTATTTTGCATGGATATTAAGCCCAGATGAAGTTAAGCTGGTGAAATGACACGATGAATATTTTTTTTAAAGAATTTCTCACGTTGCCTGACATTGAAGTTTGAAGTTGAGTTGAGTGTTGGAATTCTTTGAAGATTCCGTTTTTTTATTATATTAATTTTGAATGTATATTTTGATTTTATTTATAATTATTGTTTTTGAATATAAATTTCACATGTTCATTGATGTGCTTGTCATACTGGGTATATACTGGCCTGAAAAATATCATATTTTGTGATATAGAATATTTATATGAATAGATTATCAACCCAAGTAAACACCCCTACGTAAACACACGTGTGTACGTTCACTTTGCGAAATGAATTGCAAAATATTTTTTCGATAATTTTAATGTTGTCTTATTCTTATTAAATAAATTCAGCGCCACTCTTCCAATAATATTTACCGTGACAAGTTTCAAGTGCAGATAAATTTAGAATATTTGAGGTCGTGACGAAATTTACTAGACAGTGGCATAAACATTCTGGCGAGCTCGTAAATTTATGGCAGAAGGTAGAATTTATAGTAGAATGTAGAAGGCAGAATTTATGGCAGAATGTACGTAGAAGGTAGGATTTATGGTAGAAGTTCGTTGAAATTATATATAGAATGGGATGATATAATAAGTTGAGTATCATAAACTGCAATTATAATGAAATAGCACTAGGTAGAATCTTTTAAAATGCATGTAGAATGCATCAACTGTAGATAGAATTTCCTGGAATGTTGGAAGAATGTTCGGACAGTAGGTAGAATTTTGTTGTAACAAAGTTAAAATTTCGTGTGCTGATTAAATTTGTGTAGTAAATGCGAACACTGAGTGGTATGGATCACGAAGCGAGGTCATTTGAGATAAGCAAGGCAATTGGCTGGTGTCTTGACATTGATTTAATGTAGTCAGCCCTGCGGTAAGGTGCATGGCAGGTATCCAAGATGTCATTCCATGTGCTGCGAGTGACAGCCTGTAATTGACTTCCTTTCATGTCACGATCTTGACGTCGTGATTACCGTGCCTCGTATGTAATTTCAGGTGCTGCTGGTCGACGTATACATCTGATATTTCTTTTAATATTTAGCATATCATATAGAAAGTATATAGTGTGCATTTATTAATATATATTATTTTAATTTAAAATGTGCATTCCAATAATTTCGTGCATAGAATTTTATCGTCAATCAATGCACTCTCTTTTTATCAGGAGGAGGATGGTGTACGTGAAATTAATTTATTCATTTCTGGCTCATATTGAAAAGAGCTTGTTATTCATACTTTTTATTTAAAAAAAAATTTTGGTTGAAGGTTGGGTTAAAAACGTGCGTTTTTACCTAATCAATATCCTTGACCAAGAGCGGCAGTTGAGTACAGGAGAGAGTTGAAGGGATGGTGCCATTTTTCCAATATTGCTCATAGACTTTTTCTCTATTATACTCGGTGGAATTTCCGTGGAGCGCAAAAGCGGACATCGATCCCAAGTCGCACGCCGACAAGGATCGACGCTACAAGATTGCCTGACTTGCGAGCCGACAATATCGCTGAAATTTGAACCCAAGAAATATCTGCCTATCGATCTGGCTAGGAATTCCTGAGAGTTTCTCGGTAGTTTTGTTCAGTTACTGAGGTCTCTTAGCTTGTGAGTAGTTGAAAGCGCTTTATATCTGTTGCTTCAGTAGCTCTGATTTGTCTTCGACGATTATGTTATTCCATCACTTCTTATAGCTCGTTTTCAGGTTTCGTTAACATTTTTTGTTTCATTTTTATTTATTATTCCTAAACACTTTTTTTCTGTCACTTTCTAGCGTGTTTTATTATCATTTTGCAGGTTTTAATTCATATTTTTTATCCTTCAACGAAAATTTTTTTCCATCACTTCCTAGCTTATTTGATTATCATTTTTCGTGTTGTATTTTAATTTTTTAGCCCTCAGCGATAAATTTTTACATTACTTTCTAACCTGTTCTATTCTCATATTTGGTCTAAAAAATTTTTGCGCGTTTTTACGCTGATGCCCTACACTCGAGCTCCTCCAGACCGGTCTGGGCTAACCGGGCTGAAATTGTTGCCAAGTTGACGAAACTTGCGAAGTCTACAAGCTACAGGATTATCGTAACATTTAGTTATAGCTTTTGTCACTTCAACTGAAAATAACTGCGATGGGACAGTGATTTGTGATTGTATTCCAGTTATTTACGTAAAATGTGGGTCGTCATTTCCTTATTTTTCCCTTTCGTCAATTCCTTATTTTTTATTGTTTATTTTACATTTATTTCTACGCTAAATTTGCATTTCAACTACAATTTATATTTACCTTGAAATTGCTGCATCACTGACGCTTCTTCTTAAAAAGTCTATGTTCATAAGTATTCCCAAATGTTTTACGCAGTTCTTGAAAGCTGAAGAAAAGAAACCGAAACCAAGCATAAAACTTCAGTAGAGAATTAATGTAATTATCAGTTAACGCTGAGCTGTCCGGCAACTTTCTTAAAACATTTACGAGATTTCTTGTTAGCGTGTGAGAAGCTCTCGGCTGGTATATATGGAGGAGACACATCATACGTAGCTAGACCGGCTGACGCCCGCAGCTCAGCTACCGAAGCAGGCTTTTTATCGCGAAGGATTTCATGCTACCGCCGCTCGTGCACATCATTCCTTCTCAATCGTCTCTCTGGTGCCGTCGGGTGATGAGCTTATCGTGTGGTGCACCGAACACCGCTACCGTCGAGCTCCTGTTGTGTGGAGACGCCAGCCAATTCCGGTCCTTTATGATACCTGGTATAGAATCTTGGTTCGCTTGTCAAAATACGGCACCAGTGAAATTGAAATTTAATTACCAGTTGCTATCTATTTCGGGTATTAATTGACTTAACGTTCGAGCCCTGTTCCACTTTTGTGTATGCATTTAAAAGGGGGAAATAAATTAAGGGTATAGTAAAAGCCGCACCTGAAGCTTCAATTTCCCGTCCAATGTCGAATAGAAAGTTCCTGTGATCTCTGGAAAAAGTTCCTTTCTTCTGGATTAGGAGCATCTGTGAGGTGAGCCACGCAGCCATCAAGTTCACGATAGCCAGGCCATCTGTCGCAGCTGTTGTTGTGGCGCAGGTAACGGGCACAGCAGGCATCAGGAGCCTGCTGGACGAGCTGACCATGCAGTCCTCTAGCGGCCACGAAGGCGGAGTGACATTACAAAAAACTGTGCCTCTCACTGACGTTGATTTCGGGGAAGGCGAACCGTACTTGGATAATGACGAAGATGTTCGTTATTTAGGGCGGCTTAGACAACAGAAAGAACGCAAGAAACGCGCCGTGTCCAAAATGGAGTCTGAAAATACGTATGACAACACGGATGCTGTGTTTCCGAGCACCAGCAAGGATGGAGATGCGAATGTGAACGAACAAGAAGTGGAAGACAAAGATAGCCTGGATGATGGCGAGAACTCGGAAAGTTCTGTAAGTGACGACGGTAGTGAGGAATTATCCGAGTCTGGATCAGTGCAAGACAATAAGAAGTCTTCTGCAAAAGTACAGTCGGTGAGCGAACGCTTGTCACGCGACGCACTCAGTTTAAAGCGCCATCAACTGCGCGACGTACACACATTGCGCGGTGACAAAGATCGAGGTCGCCGCGACGATCGCCGATCAAGAAAACTCGACGATCGCGGAACAAAAAACCAATCGAAAAGCAAGTCGAAGCGCGACGAGTCGCGCAGAAGAGTCGGCGATCCAAGAAAATCTTTCAAAGCGAGCCATGAGCTGTACGGCGAAGAGTATCCTACCAAATTCACTTTGCCTCCCCGGTCTCCTACGTTCTCCTTCCGCTCTACTATTGACCTGCTGCCTTCCTCTCATCGACGACAAGGTCTGCGGCAGCAGGTTTGTTACAATGAATAATATGCAGTGGTAAATTTTTAAATTTAATTCGGGTACTTTTTATTCAATTTTAAAATTTTTAATCAATAAATTATTTTTTTTTTTTAAATTAATCAAGAAACCAGTTTCTGAATCATGCAGAGCTCCCCAAATGGTTGTCGCACGGTCATCATACATCATCACTTAATAAGTCATTACATCGGAGAATCTAATACTTCTTTGAAATTTTGCGTTTTCTATTACTGAAACATTCTTCAACCGTCTCAATTTCAGTACATATTTTACATGGCAAATTTTCATGAGATGCTGATACCAGTGTACTAGAGCCTCATTGAGTTGCTGAATTTGATGCGCGAGATTCTTGATCACTTTATACCTCGTTTCCAAATGTAAGACCCTGCATATGAGTGAAATTATTAATACGTACGCAAAAAATATCAAATGAAAATACTCATTATATCAATCTTCTATGCATCAAATGTTGAAATGAAATCACTGTTGCTACCAGCGACTCCGAACGCCGATTGATTTTGCTTGCTAGGAAGTCACTGGTATTAGTTAAGATGCCACTGCAATTCCACCGAGTTTTCGACAGCTTTCGCCATTATTGTCTACGACAAGGAATTCAGCTGCAAAAAAACAGTGACTGTGAACTAAAGTCTTTCTGTCTCCTCTCACTTACGCACTAGGTACAAATTTTCAAGTCTTGTTTTGTTGGTGTGATATGACCTTTGCCCCGCAAATAGAATTTTATTTGACGCGTCTTATAATGCCATTTTTCTTCTAAGGCCCGTAAACCTTTTTATTCAAAGATTAGTTCTGTCATTTAATGCCGACATTCATGTAATGTTCTGATGGCAAATATGAGAGGCGATTTGCAAAGGAAAACAGTGCAATGTGTTGACCGTATCTGGTCCTCTAACTCAATACTGCTATCGAGAACCGCCATGCGAGCAGATATCTGTAGCCATTTGAAGATAAAGTTATGTGATGATTCTGACTGTACGCATTCTGAAGTATATTTGTCCATTACTTGTCTTTTCTGTTCGTTTTTTAAGACAGACTTTAGAATAGACTCTGCAAAGAAAGATGAAGGATGCAGCTGACTTTAGAATCGACTTTGTAAAGACAGATGAAGGATGCAGCTGACTTTAGAATCGACTTTGTAAAGACAAATGAAGGATGCAGCAGACTATTGATTCGACTTTGTAAAGACAGATGAAGGATGCAGCTGACTTTAGCATCGACTTTGTAAGGACACGTGAAAGATGCAGCTGATTTCCTCAGACGTACCGGCGACGTTGGTCGTCATTATTACAGACTTTCTATTATCGGCTTGGGATATGGGACAGACGATCGAGAGTCTCGTCCTCTGTAGAAATTTCTCCCACGTTACAATAATCATGTTTCTCTTTTAATGAATTTATCGTCTCGTCGTGAGATACTTTCTAATATAGAAATTCTGTGGGAAACAGCGTCTTGATTGTATGTCTGTCAGCGGACATGCTACCCAAGATTTGATGTAGCTTTATACTTTAATTTATCTCAGAACATTTACTTGCGATTCGCCAAACCCGGACCATATATCCCCATGCCTGCTGATGAACCCAAGGTCGAATATTTTGCATCGAGTAACTTGGGTCTTGACATGGTTATAGTGAATGTGTACCAATAAATGTGCATCTGGAAGTGGAGCATTACTGACTTCAGTGCAATACTTCCCATGTTTCTCATATCATGAATTCGTCTCAATGTGTCGTGTTTCTAGCACTTGTCCATGTATTTATGTGCTTGTTGCGTTGCTCATCTATGGGACTTCGATGATTTGAAGTAACGGGTTTCGAAAAATATTATTATATAATCAACAACTTGAAGAAAAAATATTTGTTGTTAGTGGAGACTTTTCAGAAATGCTATGCATGGTATTATAATCTAATGGCACACGCAACGGCATGATATATTTATTATGATAAATCATTATGCCTCGTTAGAATAAAAATCATAACAAAAAGTGTGATAAACTAATATTAACGAGAAAGTTCATTTGCTCGTCAGTAATGAGAGACCGCGCGTCGCGTGCGTCGGGACACAAGTCGCTGGCCACGACGCTGCGGCGTTACGCCGCTACACCCAACGCGGCCGCCGTCACTCTACGCGCCTGACGTGCCAGTCATGCTGATACATTCATGCTGCAGCGTGAGCTTGTTAGGTGCTGCATTTTTCATGCTGCACTAGGCGCTGCTGTTACATTCATGCTGCACTAGGTGCTGCTGTTACATTCATGCTGCACTAGGCGCTGCTGTTACATTCATGTCACAGTACGCGCTGCATAAGTACTGTTGATTGTGTTATACATGCTCCGGCGTTCGTGACGACCGCAACTGTAGCAGCTTCGTTGTTTCCGCTGTTCGTTTTTTACTGTTACTGTGTCGGTGCCGGCGCTGCAGCTGTTACGGGGATGTCACGCATACGCCTGCCTTGTGGCCGTGCGTCTATACAAGGTCGACTGTCCAGGGCACATTTTCACACAAATTACACAGCTGGCACATGTATTTTTACGCATGTAGGAGTGGACAGCTAGTACCTGTATTGTTACGCATGTAGGAATATGTAAATGTTACTTGTATTTTTACGCATTTAGGAGTCATGTGCGTATCCTATTGAGTCTCCGGCATGAGCACGTGTATCTTTATTATTCTTGTAGTAGGCATCTGATGAGAAGAACCCTCAAAGTATAGTCCAGCGCTTAAAACCCATCCGCTTTTCATCAACTACTCTTGATCGTCCTCGTGAAAACGCCCTGGGGTGGACGAATGTCGGAACAAGCGTGAATAACGATTTTATCCTGAATAACGATGAAATAACACCGTGAATAACGATGAAATATTTTCAAGCAGAAACATTTTCTCTCGAATTTCACTCAGCGAATATTTCACAGTACAAGAATATTAATAATTTATTTGCATCGTAATCAATGAAGAAAATATTTGCCTATGCTGTGTAGGCTGGGACCGTTCATTTCTTTGTGCACGTTTGATCATTTACAACCACCGATACCTGGGAACTCTGCGCCGTCATGCCATGCTGGCTCCGTTGCCGAGGTACAAATTTGAACAGGAAAATAACTTATCGTCATTTAAATAAATTTGACTCTTATTTCGCGTATTCAAATTATCTGCGAGTTATTCATTCATGTTTTGTCTAATATAGACGTGCAAACATGTCTCCGTAATTACAGTAAACGTACTACAATTAAACGTAAACGTATTGTGAATGTGAAAAAATGTCTCCGTAATTACAGTAAAAGTACAACAATTAAACGTAAACGTATTATCAACGTGCCAACATGTCTCCGTAATTACAGTAAACGTACAACAATTAAACGTAAACGTATTGTGAATTTATTTACCAACTTCAGTTCGGTGAACGCCAGCAAGTTTATCATGCACGGTACGCTCATGGCAATTAGATGTTATATTTCATGTCTGACATCTTTGCAGAAAAAAATTAAATATTCTGTGAAGAATGATTTTTTAATTATATTTTTAGAATTTTATGTTTACAATCAATTAAATTACAGATATTTGATTCGAAAAATACCGAAGAAAAGTCGAGGAAGATATTGTCTCTATTTTTTCCATAGCGTTTCAACAACAGTAACCTGAAGTCCAAAAACCCGATATCTGGAAACAATCCTGGACTAGGTATGAATTAATGGGCGAATTGAAGCGCATAAACTTCAATAGCAAATGCCTCAAGCCAGCTCCGCTCCCCTCTGCGAGTCTCAAATCGGTTTTGACAGAGTACAACTTTCCCCGATTTCCGGTAGAGAATTGAAGCACCGACAAATATCTTCAACCAATATCCTCTGAGCTCAGTTTACCTTCAACGTTCTCCTTGATGGTTATTGAAATTCTCTGACGTCTAGATGCCCGTTTGCACATCCAAGCATTGCCGTTGAGTTATCATTGTGGATCGATGGCGTCTTTTTAAATGATTTGGAACGTAGGAGAAGAGAGGCGTTTTATTTAATTTTAGGATGATTACATAATAACTATCTTGAATAATTATGACTCTCAGGCAAATAGCCCACAGTTTATTAGACTTGAGTCCTTCACATTATAGCTAAATTTTCCTTTTGTGCATTCCTGTGATATATGCGAGATTTTGCATGTTTGGCGCATTATTAGCGATTTATGTTTCTCAAGTCACGCTTGCTGTTGGTCGGCCTGGTCCTATGAAGCATCTGTCGGAGTTCACACGTCTTGTACACAGCGTCAGCTGCCGGCCGTTGCGTGTAACTGTTGGCACACTTTGCTTCAGACACTTTTATAACATTGCATGGAATGTTCAGAATACAATGATACTACATTATTATAAACGTAACTTACTCATATAATGATCCGGACTCATGAACTATGAATGAACGATCGCAATCGTTGGGTCACCGAATTTCAGTATGCATCATGATTACAGTAGGGACTTGGTTGGTACATTCAGTTCATGATACTTTAAAAGCACTTTCAAAACTGAGCTCTTCACATTTATCCTCAAACTTACATTATTTGGATATTGATAATTATGATCTAGAATTTTTCCAGTCAAGTATTATTAGTTTTAATGGCGTGTTTTGTATTGTCTTGATGTGTACCTCTTTCATCTTTGCTTAACTTAATTATTCCATTAACCATTAATATTATTCCATTAACCGATCACAGTTTATGTAACAAGCGAAGCCAACTAATTGAAAGGCTGAAGCTATAATTTACTGCAATTGTACCTTTTTTGTACCATTGTAATCGAAACTGCCATTGTGTCTCAATAATTAGTTTTCAGCATCAGGAAATTATTGGTATCGCTGTATTTTAAGTCGTGAGCTTCGTCCCTGGATCAATCTATTTTATGAACATTATTGATGTATCTGTAAACCTATTTCTGGATATGTTTGATCTTGATCAGCCCTGACGGTTCGCGCCTCAACAGCCTCTCATTATTCACTAAAT